TGCTTTAGAGGAGAGTAAGGAAGCCTGCGGAGAAAGTCTCCTTAGAGCAAAGGTTGAAGTGAGTGGGGAAGGGAGCCAAGGGAAGATCTCACTGGCCTGCATTCTAGGCTAGGGACCTGCAAATGCAAATGGTTCAGCTTTCACCACCCTATTAGTAATCTTTACATCCCTAGGCATTCATAGTAAGTTTCTGCTGTTCATTGATCCGATATAGTATTCTCCTTTTGTAAGCATAATACTTACATATGTGCTATTTTGAACCTAGAATTTTAATATTTAATGCAGATTTGTGTGGTCTTTTTCTAAGTAACAATGGCTAGAGTTAGGACTAGAGTGATTAATAATGCTTCAAAAACCACCTATTTTGAGGATTTTGAAGTCTAAATAGAATTCAATAATTTACTAATAAATATATATGTATATATAGGTAAATTCAAGCGGCTATGTGAAAGGAAATATTGCTTAGAGAAGCAGTTAAACAATTCTCTGAATGGTGAATGGCAATTTTAATTAGCTCTTGCCACAGAGTTACCTTTAAATAGGTTTTTCTTTTCCTCTTCAGAGTGAAAGCAGAGCGTTAGCATCACAATTAAAATAGAATTATAAATGGAACTCAGCTACTTTCACTCAGCAAATCTTCTGGATGTATTTTCGAAGTCAGGAGGTCTCAGCCTAGGTTTTGCAACACACAGGTAGAGAGCTGAGACTAGATATTTATTAATAATAACCAAAATATTTATGTTCACAATTTGTTTAGTTTTTAAAAGGAATTATTAATACAAAGAAGGGTAATTCTCTAAGAGTATCTTTGGCATTGGTTGCAATGCCATGTCTTACCTAATTGGAAAGATTGGAGTTAGAACCTACTTATACAGCTCTTCTGAGCAGCAGTTACGGACACACCAGAGTTGTGGTTGATTGAAACTTTGTTTTTAGTACTTTGCTTCCCCATAATTTTGGGATGTGTTCTTTAAAATCTGAACATGTGATGGGAATTTACCTTTTATGTGAACATCATCTGCTATGTTTATCATGGTGGGGAAAATAGGCTGAGAATTGTTGCTCTTTATTATAAAGCAAATGCCTATTAAGCTAAAATACTGGAAACAAGTGCACGTTTTTGGTTTTGTGTGTGTGTGTGTGTGTTTTAATATACCTATTGTTTATCACAAAACTGTCTTTGGGCCATCAAACTAAGCCATGGCCCATTTGTAGAAATAACTATAATTGATTTAGTCTGCAGAATCCATCCATAACATACATTGACAAATTTTGCACTGATGGGTTTCTCTAATTTGGTTTAGGAAAATTTTTAGTCACATCATTACAAAGTAAATAAGATTTCTGATTTGCCAATAAGGATAATATTTATCAATTAATAAATAATGTATTTTCTGGTATATACTTCTCTTAATTCTTTATTTTTAAATTATTTTTTATTTTAATAATATGTCCTTTTCATATTTCTTTTGTCTTTTGGGGAGAAAAGCTACCCTTTTGTATGAGAACAAATAATTCATTAATTTCTTCTGAGTTTATAAGTCATAAAAATTACAGTCTAATATTAATGCTTGTTATACAGAGAAATCTAATTGAAAATATTATTCCATGGTAATTCATGGACTTTGTAAAGATATCCATGAAAAGCACTGGATAATAAATTATCAGTCAATTAAAGTGTTGAACTCAGTATAGGGAACAGGTAAAAGAGAAAGATGTAGTCCATTATTAATAGTAACCAAAATAGTTTTGCTTTTCTTCAGGCTGTGAAGGTAGATTTTAAAAAATCAATAGACTACTTTTTTAGAGTAGTTTTTAAGCTTATAGAAAAATTGAACAGATAGTATAAGGAGTTCCATATATGTATATATCCTCCTGCCCAGTTTCACCTATTATTAACATTTGCATTAGTGGGGTACCTTTGTTACAATTGCTGAACCAATATTATTATTATTAACTAAAGTCCATAGTTTACATTAGAGTTCACTCTGTTTTGTTCTATGGATTTCAACAAATGCGTAATGTCCTATATCCACTATTACAGTATAGAACAGTATAGCATAGGTTAGTTTTACTGCTCTAAAAATCCCCTGTGCTCCACCTGTTCATTACTCACCCATTTCCTTTGGAACTCCTGGCAACCACGGAGATTTTTACACTCTCCATTGTTTTTGTTTTTTTCCCCAGAATGTCACATAGTTGAAATCATACAGCATGTAGCCTTTTCAAATTGGCTTCTTTCAGTTAGCAATATGCCTTTAAGTTTCCTCCATGTCTTTTAATGGCTTCATAGCTCATTTCTTTGTAGCGCTGAATAGTATTCCATTGTGTGGATGTACCACAGTTTATTTATCCATTCACTGTTGAAGGACACCTTGGTTGCTTTCAACTTTGGCAATTAGGATTAAAATTCACGTGTAGGATTCTGTGTGGACATAAGTTTTCAGTTCCTTTGGGTAGACACCAAGGAGCATGATTGCTGGATTATATGGTAAAACTATGTTTAGCTTTGTAAGAAGCTGCCGATATGTCTCAAAGTGGCTGTGCCGTTTTACAATTCCCCTAACAATGAGTGCGAGTTCCCGATTCTCCACGTTCTGGCCAGCATTTGATGTTGTCAGTGTTTGGATTTTAGCCTTTCTGATAGGTATATAGTGGTATCTCTTGTTGTTTTAATTTTTTTATTCCCTAATGGCAAACGATGTTGAGTATCTTTTTCATATGCATGCATATTTGCCATCTGATGATTTTTGATGAGGTGTTTGTTCAGATCTTTGCCCAGTTTTTAATTGGGCTATGTGTTTTCTTATTGTTCAGTTTTAAGTGTTCTTTGTATACTTTGGATACAAGTCCTTTATCAGATATGTGTTCTGCAAATATTTCCTGGTCTGTGGCTTAGTTTTCATTCTTTTAATGGTGTCTTCCACAGAGCAAAATGTAGTTTTGCTTTCCCTCAGGTTTGAGGTAGTTTCATTTTATTGTCATTATATCGCTTTCTAGAACAAATCAAAGTACAACTTTGTCCTGAGTTATTCACTTACTTCACTTGTGAAAATTTAAGTTTAAATAAGACTTTCAATAGTACATAATGTATATTTTGGATTTTATAGACTTTTAAATGATGTATGAGAAAAAAATATTTATACATTGCCTTTATTCCTTTAACATTATTTTGAAGTTTTCAATAGAAACAATAAAAACAATAACATCAGATTGTTAAATTTTCCATAATCCAAGAGTAAGCACTGTACACCTTTGAAATATAAGAGCACAATGAATTTCAGACTCCACTGCCATTTTCATAAGAGGAGGAAGAATAATTCCCTGCATTGTTTGCTTGATGACCTTTTATACCAGAATTTAAAGTATTTCACAGTCCTCCAAATAAACCTAAGAGAATTGATGTGGGAAAGACACACATAGTAGAATAGCTAAACATTCTAGCAGACATAGACTGACTGACAGGTTTCATAACAGCAAGCCAACATCTAGGACATTAAGCGATCCACCCATGGTCACTTTGCTCATTAATGGCAAATTTGGGACCGTAAATCCCACTTTTAAATTCCAGTTCAACATCCTTTTCATTCTCCAAACTGCCTACTATACCATTTTCCCCTCAATACAAATGAAAAATTAATTCACTGACCTGATTGTGCAAAAGGGCTCACACAGAACAATGAGAAAGTCTAAGGTCTGATTTTTGCAGATGTTAGGATTCTCTCCTATTTACTCATAAGGAACAGTAAGAAAATATATTTTATCATTAGATAATATTTTATGAATTTAAAATAGTAAAATTGATTTTATTCAGCTTAGAATAATTTTAGAATTTATGAAAATCAGATGTTTTGTGACAGCAGGGCTGGTAATTACTATACTGTACACTCTGAATATATAATTTGAAAAACTTGAATATAGGTTGCTCTAGTCTAAAATATAGTCAATGAACTAAATATATCCGCCCCAACAAATTCTTGAAATCAATTTCTAGAATATGGAAATATTTTGACACTAGGAATTATTCTGACTAGAAAAACTCCCTGATGTGGTTAGAAATAAAATGTATATTTCCTAATACTGTTGTGATAAATAAGATTTCCATATAAGATAGAAAATATACAATAAATGCCAGGAAAAACATCCTTCTTAAATTTTAAGACCAGTATACCATCTTCAAGAAAGTTTATATGCTTTTCTATGTTCCTAATCCAGAAATTTTCTTTCCCAAATAATTGTGAATTCCCCAAGAGCCATAACATTATCTTTTATCCCTTAGGACTATGACACCGTAGGTGTCTAATAAGTGACTGCAGAGTGATTGAGGGAATATCATTAAATCTTACTAAATATTGCAAATAATAACATGCCAAAGGTTCTCCAGCTTATCATCTGTAAATGTAATATCACTCTTTTGCTATTGGATGTTTTTTCATGTTCAGATTTTACCAACTTCTCAGAAGATGACACAAATTTAAGACGCTGATTTTATCAAAGTACAATAGGAAAGGTCCTTATTTAAAGTTAATTTAATGTAAAGCACATTTGTGGGTATTGTATTTTAAAGGTACCATTTTAATTTACTATATCAAAATTGATAATAACCATGTAATCTATTTTTATGTTGGAAAGCCAACAAAGTGACCTTAAATGCAATTAAATATAGAATATACTTTAAGTTTCTCACAAATGTTTTGATTTTCCCAAGGAAAAATATTTCTTCTCTGCTCAAGCCTAGATTGATTTCAATGTTTACAAAAAATTTGATCTGAAAATAAAATACCCTCACACTGCTTTGATACGAGGAATAATTCAGCACAAACGAAGAAGTTGGAGAAATGTTCACTGTGCAAGGAAAGGTCGAGAACCCCTTGTCAAACGATTGTCATTCTGTGATTTCAGGGTATGATCATCTCTGGAAGTGGGAGCCAGGCTAAGGAGGTAGACCCCAAGGCGTTGTGTGGCAACAGTGGAGAGGGGCAAACCAACATTCTGTGAACATGAGCCTCAAATCCCCAGCCTCTGCTCCTCAGCTTGAGAGCAAAGGCAGCCATAGTATGGCAAGAAATGGAAGCTGTTTTCTAGTCAGGCACACCCCTCACCCCAGAAGGGTCTGCCACATCAAAGGTAAGGCGACTCAAGGTCCTAGAAAGTGTCTCCTCTACACGGGCTACTCCACTATTCTGGTGGATGAACACAGGGGTGCTATTCAAAGGATTTGATCGCTGCTGAGGCACAGGCATTGACTGTTGAGACCCAAGGCCAGCACTGGAGTTAGAGCAGAGGCCAGCAGGCACCCCCTGTGCCAGGCATTCACGTTTGGATTACTCCATTGTTAGGAAAGGGGCCACTCAGGGAGCTCAGGGTAGCAATGGCCAAATGGTATGAAAATGTTTCAATATTTTAACAACTTGCACAGCTATGCTAGCATCTACATGCTAAATACCAGCCCCGGAGAAGCATGTATTTTACCCACCCCCACCCCTTCTCACTCTCTCCTTTCTTCCCCCCTCCCCATCTTCCTCCTTCCAACTTCCTTCCTAAGTTCCTCCATCTCTTCTCCCATCTTTCCCCCTATTCTTTCTTTCTTTCTTTCTTTCTTTCTTTCTTTCTTTCTTTCTTTCTTTCTTTCTTTCTTTCTTTCTTTCTTTCTTTCTTTCTTTCTTTTTCTTTCTCTTTCTTCTCTCTCTCTCTCTTACATTTTTTAAAATTTAGTTTCTGTCACTCATCTATCCACCTGCCAGGTGTGTCAGCTACTGATGGCTTACACTGAGTCCCTCTCTGGCAATTGCTCTCAGCTGAAGGGAGGTCTCATGCACAATGGGAGTTTGAACAATGAGTGGTTGATGGGGGTTGGAAAGGCCTGACCCCCTTGCCTTGAGTTGAGACACGACTCCAGAGCCATCCATTGCTCCTTGTGGAACTGACTGAGGCCTCTATGGTATCTGTACTGTGGTTCATCTTTTGCCCAACTCTGCTTCTCTGGCTTTCTTATATGTTGTTCCCAAGAACACTCGCCAATAAATTTCCTTCACACAAATTTCCATCCCAGCTTCTATTTCCAGAGAATGTGATACAAGACAGTTTCCCTAAAAGAAAATACAGAATAATATGAGAACATACCAACAGGAAACCTAATTTAGATTTAGAATGTAGAGCCTGGAATGTCTCTCTTTTTTTAACTATTGATTTTTTTTTTTTTGAGAGAGGAAAAAACATTGATTTGTTGTTCTACTTATTTATGCATTCATTGGTTGACTCTTATATTTTCCCTGACCAGAGATTAAACCTGAACCTTGGCATATTGGGATGATGCTCTAAACAATGTCTCTTTTAAGTGACACTTAAACCAATACTTAAAAAACAAGAAACAGCAAGTAATGGGGGAGAGTTATTTTATGACTAGAGGTAATAGCACGTGTGAAAATTCAGAGGTGGGAAAGGTCTTGTTACATGTTCAAGGGATTTAGACAAATCCGGTGTGACATATGTACAATGAGGGGTGGGAGGTTACTGATATGAGATGAATATAAAGGCATCACTAGAGGGGGAGCTGGTCTTTCTTGGGCCTAAGACCTAATTCTCCTGTATATTCAAGGAAGTAAATGAAGCTCCCACTGAGACTGTTTTAACATCCTTCACTGCTGGATCGAATTTCACATTTCCATGACTAGCTTTAAATCATTTAATATTGTCCCATTGGACTCTGAAGCCACTTTAATGGCATTCCCTTTGACCCTTCACACATTTTTATATAATTCTTTCTTAACTCTTGGACAGATGCAATCTGAATTTTACACACACACATACATCCCCCAAAATGTATACACACTTTAACAGCTGATAGCTCAATTTTGAAAATGAGATGTATTTTAATAAACACTACCTTTATCATTATTTAAAGTGTATGTATCCATTTTTTGGGGACACCCTGTATATATGTCTGTCTGTATGTGTGTGTGTGTGTGTGTGTATATATATATATATATATATATATATATATATATAACCCATAACACACACACACATATATATGTATATGTGTATGGAAAAATGTATGCATGAACAAGAAAAACAAAACTGAAAAAATGTAAAGATGGAAAGAAAAAAAGGCCCTCCAACACACACACACCCCACACACATCTTTTATAATTAAGAGAGGTAATAGAGAAAATAGGATTTTTTTTCCATTAATTGTCTCTGTGTTAAGTGATATATTTCATTTGATAAGCAATTTTTCACTATGCACCTGGGCCAATCACTAACCCAGGTGTTTAAGATAAAATGATAAGTGATGCTGTCTTCAAAAATTTTATTCTCATTTCTATTTGGAACCAGTTACTATCAGTGAAGTTCAAAGTATCAGATTAAATAAAAGCTTTGTATTTGGCTATGTTATCCATTCACTTAATAAATAATCTTAGAGCACCTACTTTGTGCCAGGTAGTATTCCAGACACTGGGAGAAGGGCAGAAAATGAAATAGACAAAGTCCATGCTTCATGAAGTTGATATTCTGGGGTAGCTCAGTCTAGCAGAATGCAAAAAGATATGACAAGTGACAAATGCTATGGGAATAATAAAAGAGCACAAGGAGATAGAGAGTGATGGGCTGTATTTCAGAAAGGGTTGTCAGCAAAGACATTTTTTAGGTCATTTGAGCAGATAAATAAGAAGAGCATGGACCAAATGTACCAGAGGGAGATTCGGAAGAATGACAAATATGAAAAACACTATTGAGATGATTCCTGTGAAACAAAGCAGCCATCTATTACTACCTCTCATAATTCACTGATTAACGTACAGCAATGCCCCACATGTCCCCATTTCCTAAGCTGTCCAATTCGACATGGCATAGCATTGTACTGAAAAAAATGACCTGTCTTAAACCAATATTTGAGCCAAAAGCAAATAGCTGAGAGGGAATGAACCCAGAACTGTGACATGAGGAAGGAGGTTCTTTTGCATCACATTCCCCATCGTTCCTTCCCTCACAATCCACCTTATCTTGCCTCTATTTCTAGCTCCAACAGCTTTTCACCTTCTGCCAGTACAAAAGAAGAGTCAGTGAATGTCTTTTAGGATGCCTTTCTACATTGAGACATCCTAGATGCTTTCAAACAACCTCAATCTGGTATTCATGAAGAGGGCTAACATAATCCCTCTTAGTCATTATAGAAACTTGGGAAATGAGAGGTCTGTCTGGAACAGAGGCAGATCTACCCCACTTGGCTCTCAGACCAAGATCAAAGATGTGGATCTGGCTCTCAGGCTAACAAGATGGCAGAACATTTTAAGGAAGCATGTATTGCAAATATAATTTGCAACAGTGATTTTCAAGGACTAGCACGGGTTCATACAGTTTGAAGTCAGACATCTTACCTGCACTTAAGAACATCTGGTTGGATGGAACATTGCTGATCACGCAAAGGAAACCTGCCCCAAACCTAATCTGGAGCTTCGATCTTTTTCTCCTGACTACCTAGGTTTGAATAACATCCCGATCTGTACTGTGAATGATGATGATAACTCACTGGGAACGTTGTGGGATGTTGGCCAGTTCAACCACTCAGAGAGGGACGAAATACCATTTGCCAAATGCAGTCACCCACCCAGCACCGCAGCCCTGGAGAGCCCAGTCAGAGGAGTCTCACCGGCTCCAAACAGTGGCAAAGGGCATCCCCCACCCCCGCGGCCTCATTCTGGTGAGTCCCACTCAGCTGATGAAACCTTTCCTGAGGCCTCCTGCAAACTATTGGGAATGGCGGGGGGTGGGGAAGTGGAAAGCTATATGATTGCTAATCCAGCTGCAGTGATTTTTAAATAGCCATGAAATTTTCTCACTGAGAAATAGGTTATTCATTATAAAAATGTTTCACTCATCTAATTTTAATTCAGTAGTTCAAAAATGTTAACAAATATTATAATTATTATTAATTGTGTCCAAGACATATTTGGTGTGGTTCTAATCTCTAGTTCCTACAAAAGTAGCCTAAGAGATACCAAAAATGAATTGTTAGCCAGCATTGATCGGGAAACTATTTCAGAAATAGAGTTGGAGAAATGCAATAGGCATGAAATTTCATGTTGACATCTTCCCCTCTGGATGGCAAAGACCTTAAGGTCAGGGCTCTGTGTTTTTGCTATTCTTGATCGCTCCCCTGCTTCCAGCACAGTGCCTGGTCTTCTGTAAACAATTCAATGAATTAATGTTTACTGAATTGAAATGAAGTGATACTAATAAAAAATACAGCATAGTTATAGTTAACAATACTATATTGTATATTTGAAAGTTAAGAGTTTAGATCTTCAAATTTCTCAAGACAAAAAAATTTGTAACTGGCCCACCCAGGTGTGGCTCAGAGGTTGAGCATTGATGTAGGTAGGATCTTGGAGACTGAGGTTCGATTCCCAGTCAGGGCACATGCCTGGGCTGTGGGCTCAATCCCCAGTCGGGGGCGTGCAGGAGAGAGCCGATCAATGATGACTCTCTCATCACTGATGTTTCTCTCTCTCCCTCTCTCCCTTTTCCTTCCTCTCTCTGAAATCAATAAAGGTATATTTTTTTAAAAAGAAATTTGTAACTGTGAGGTGATGGATGTTAACTAAATCTATCATGATAATAATTTTGTAATATATGAGATCATTATGTTATACATTTTAAACTAATATGAGAAAAGCAGTGTGGCAAAATCTAGAGATCAAGGTAAAATGGAAGGGATTCTGGATGGTAGAAATTATATTCTGTTCTCTTTATCCTGCCCTGTACAAGTACATGCTGTTACAAAGAGTTTCAGGGCACATGAAAATTATTTTGGTATAATATGGTAAAATATATCTTTCCAAAGATAATGAGGGATCACTAATAGAGCATTTACTATGTGATTCCATTCTAAGGTCTTCATGCTTGTTAACTCATTNGTGATTCCATTCTAAGGTCTTCATACTTGTTAACTCATTTCATCTTTCATTTAGGAGTTCCTCTTCCCACCTTTCCACTGGCAATGAAGAATCAAAGCCCACTTATTCTACCTTCTTTCTGGTGTCCCTTCTTATACTGCAAAACATAGGAACTTAAAAATTACATTAGCAGGAGTCCTTTGAAGGGAATTGGGTGTTGCCATCTGGTAAAATTTATATCGCATATGTGGGGTCGAGGGCATCTTTTTGGTTGATGCTTACTATCAAGTGTGACTGGACACATGGGTCTTCTTAGTTTTTTGGCTACAACATCTCAGTGTTCAGATTCTGGATTTATGGGTGTCAAAAGGCAAAGTCGGCAGACATGATGGCTCTTGTATTGCAGGGGCAATCCAGTGCCTAATCTTTAGCCTCATGGATGTTGTGACAGCACCTAAAGTGGCCATGACTTCCTGACTCCTTTCCGTCTGCTTGTGATAAAGGCTGTGCCCTCCTCTGTGGGCCAGGTACACGGTGTGGTTCTTGAAATGAAGAGTCAAGGCCAGAGTTCACTGTTCTAGCCCTTCCAATAATATTAGAAATATTTTTGCTTAGAATAACGACAGTGGTTTCTGTTTCCCACAAGCGTTCTCTTAATAGACTCATACCCATAACTTTGTTCTCCCTAAATAATGAATTCAGTTACTATTGGGTATATACGTGAAATTTTTTCACCTTCAAAAGAACTGTTGTGTTTACTGTGGCTTCAGTAAAAAAGGCAGCATCATTTAAACATTATATCTTTAATACAAAGAAAAATTAAGCAAATGTTTAAGTGGTTTTAGGGTAATTTAGGGGGATTTAGATACATGATTTTATGAAATGGGATGAAACAATAAATAAAATAAAGAGTGTAATTATAACTCAGCATACATCTTTGCTTTCTGTCCACAGAGCAAACAGCACACATAGTCTCTGTAATTAGAGAAAGTGACAGTTATGAGTAGGAACCAGAGAAAAACATGCTTACACCAGAATATGTACTTTTTAAAACAGTTTACCACATCCAGAAAGCTCTTGCAGTGTTTTTAAAAATCATCTTTCTGGCCATATAATTTGTTTTGTAATATAAATATGCTTTTATTATGTTATTGTAGTACAATTCTTCCAGCAAGTTTCCTAATATTTATGAACAGATCACAGGCTTGGTTTTTTAAAAAAATTAATCTTTATTGTTGAAAGTATTACAGATGTCTCCTTTTTTCCCTCATTGATCCCCTCCACCCCGCATCCACCCCACTCCCAGGCCTTTCCCATTACAATGTTTGTGCCCATGGGTTATGCTTATAGACATATAAGTTCTTTGATTACTCTCTCCCTACCCACTCCCCCACCCCCGCCTTTCTTCTGAGATCCCTCAGTCTGTTCCATGCTTCTATGTCTCTGGATCTATTTTGTTCATCACTTTATTTTGTTTATTATATTCCACATATAAGTGAGATCATGTGGTATCTGTGTTTCTCTGACTGGCTTATTTTGCTAAGCATAATACTCTCCAGTTCCCTCCATGCTGTCCCAAAGGATAAGTGATCCTTCTCTTTTATAGCTGCATAGTATTCCATGGTGTAAATGTACCACCAGAGCTTTTTTATCCACCATCTACTGATGTGAACTTGAGAAGAATGTATATTCTGCAGCTTTGGAGTGTAATGTTCTGTAAATGTCAATTAAATCAATATGACCTAGTGTGTCATTTAGGGTCACTGTTTCCTTGTTGATTTTTTGTCTGGAAGACTTATCCAGTGAAATCAGTGTGGTGTTAAAAGCCCCCTAGTATGACTGTCTTGCTGTCGATCTCTCCCTTAAAGTCCTCTAGAAGTTTTTTTTATAAATTTAGGTGCTCCTATATTGGGTGCATATATGTTTATCAGGTTATATCCTCTTGTTGGATATGTAGTGACCTTTCTTGTCTCTTGTTACGGTCTTCGTTTTGACGTCTATTTTGTTTGATACGAGTATTGCTACCACAGCTTTTTTTTTTCATTTCCATTTGCATGGAAAATTTTTTTCCATCCCTTCACTCTCATCCTGTGTGAGTCTTTTGTTTTGAGGTGGGTTTCTTGTAGACAGCATATATTGGGGTCATGTTTTCTTATCCATTCAGCCACCCTATGTCTTTTTATTGGAGCATTTAATCCATTTACATTTAAGGTTATTATTGAGAGGTACTTATCTATTGCCATTTTAATTCTTTATGCCTATGTTTCTTTTTCTCTCTATTTCTACTTCTAATTACAGCAGTCCCTTTAACGTTTCCTGCAATGCTAGTTTGGCGGTGATAAACTCCTTTAGCCTTTTTTTTTGGTCTGGGAAGCTCTTTATTTCACCATCTATCTTGAATGATAGTCTTGCTGGATAGAGTAATCTTGGTTTCAGATCCTTGTTTTGCATTACCTTGAATACTTCATATCATTTCCTTCTGGCCTGTACAGTTTCTGATGAGAAGTCAGCTGACAACCTTATGGGAGCTTCTTTGTAGGTAACAGATTGCTTTTCTCTAGCTGCCTTTAAGATTCTCTCTTTGTCTTGAATTCTTGGCATTTTAATTATGATGTGTCTGGGCATGGGACTCTTTGGATTCTTCTTGTTTGGGACTCTCTGTGCCTCCTGAACTTGTGTGACTTCTTCCTTCACCAGGTTAGGGAAGTTTTCTGCCATTATTTCTTCAAACAGGTTCTTTAACCCTTGCTTACTTTTGACCTCTCCTAGTATTCCTAAAATGTGAATATTGTTACATTTTATGTTGTCCCACAGCTCCCTTAAAGTGTCCTCCTGTTTTTAAATTGTTTTTTCTCTTTGGATCCTTGATTGAGTAATTTTTTTTCTATTCTGTCTTCTAATTGGCTGATCTGATCCTCAGCTTCCTCTAATCTGCTGTTTATTTCTTCCAATGTTTTCTTTATTTCTGCTATGTCATTCTTAGTTCCTTCATAGTTTCCATATATTTTTTCATGCTGTTGAGCATCCTTACAATCAGTATTCTGAACTCTATATCTGATAGATTGCTTATCTCCATTTCATTTAGCTCTTTTTCTGGAAACTTCTCTTGTTCTCTCATTTGGGGCTTATTTTTTTTGCCTCCCCATTTTGGCTGCCTGTTTGGGTTTGTTTTTATGTATTGGGTAGATCTGCTGGACTCTCATTCTTTTTGGAGGGTCTCTGGTGCAGGACAATGNCTTTTTTTGCCTCCCCATTTTGGCTGCCTGTTTGGGTTTGTTTTTATTTATTGGATAGATCTGCTGGACTCTCATTCTTTTTGGAGGGTCTCTGGTGCAGGACAATGCCAGACACAGTTTGTGATTGGCCTTGAGTACCCTGTTTGGAGCTATCAACAACCCTCAGCTTGAGGTCTCCTCTGCTGGGGTTGGGTGCATTTGGAAAGGACCAAGATGCCCACCAAAGTCTGCTTTACCAAAGCCTAGGTCCAGAAGCAGATCAGGCAAAGACTGAAAGCACTCTGAGGTCTGCCTCTGCCTGCAAGCTGATTAATCTGATCTCTTAATGAGCCTCAGGCTGTAGAAACTCCACTGGGTAGGGTGAGAGGTTTTCCAGCAGGGTGNTTCCACTGGGTAGGGCGAGAGGTTTTCCAGCAGGGTGGGGCAATTGCTTCCCTCCCCCAGGCATAAGTAGCAAATTGTCTGCCCGAGAAAAATGTCCTCTGCAGTACGGGAGAATGACTTGGTACAGAAATCCAGAGGGGTGCCCTCCTGAGCTCTATCTCCAGAGCCCACAACCCTAGGTTCTCCTCATACAACTCCAATCCACTCTGCCCTCCCTCTACTGGATCCCAGTGTGAGTGGCTGCACACAAAACTTTGTGCATTGGCTCTTTAAGAGGGTGCCTGCATTCCCAACCTTCTCTCCCTGGCAGACAGAAACCCAGCTGCTTTTCATAGCCAGATGTTATGTGGGCACCTTTCTCAGTTCTGGTGCTCTGGGCTGGGGAACCCAGCCTGGGGTTTAGTCCCCAGAGTCCTCAGTGGGAACCCTCTACAGCTGAGATATCCCTCTGACCTTCAGCTGCTGTCCGTAGGAGCCCAGCCAGCCCTCTCGCACCTCAGCACTTCCTACCAGTCTATGCAGTCTCCACTTTTCCTCCTTATGAGGGTGCTCTCCTGCTAGTCTTCAGTTGCAGTTGATTATTCAGGATGGTTTTTCTATATTTTAGTTGTAATTCCAGTTTGGTCCCGGGAGATTGTCAGTGTAGCTTCCACTCAGTCCACTGCCATCTTTAATCTCATCTCTCACACCCCCAGGGTTGATCTTAACTGATATTCAAATGTACTCCCATCCGTTTCAGAAACCAATATACATGGCATGTGATAGAAATTTTTTTTGTTTGATCTAAGTATATTTTTCCTCAATATCATTTCAGAGCCCTGTAGAAAAGTCAAGGAGTGCTTCAAAACTTCCAATGACAATCCCTTTGTAATTAAAAAGGTAAAGAAACAACTATTACAGCTACCTATTTAGTTTGACTTTTATCATTTCCCCTTCTCTTTCTTCTTCACATACTTTTCTGAAAAGATGCCATGTTTCACAATATTTTTTACAGTTTCATTTAAGTGCAATTAACATGATATAAAATGCACATACCAGGTGGGGCAAAAGTAGGTTTACAGTTATTCATATGGAAAATAATATAATAATTAATAAATAATAATCCAAGAATAAACTGTGTTTTGTGTACTCATAACTGCAAACCTACTTTTTCCTCATCTTGTACTTAAAGTGCAGAATTTGACGAGTTTTGACAAATATATCTCCATACCACGGAAGCCTCCACAGAAATCAAGAAAATAAATATACGCATTACTTCTAAACGTTTTCTCATGACCCTGGTCCTCTCATAGGCAAACATTTATCTGCTGCCACTAAACATTTAGCATGCAATTTTCAGGAATTTATATAAATGAAACAATATAGCAAGTTCTCTTCTTTTAAATCTGGGATTTGTTAAACTCAGCATAATTATTTTAAGATTCAACCATGTTGTTATGTGCCAGTAAAAAGGGTAGTTCATTCCTTTTTGTTGCTGAGGAGTATTCCCACAATTTGTTTATCCATTCACCTGTTGGTAGACATTTAGCTTGTTTCCACTTTTTCACAAAGGTGATATGGACATTTGTGTACAAGCCTTTGTATAGAGATGCATTTTCTTTTCTCTTGGGTAAAAAAAATCTAGTAGTAGAATGATTCAGTCTTATAGTAGGTGAATGTTAAGTTTTTTAAGAAGCTGCCAAACTGTTTTTCAAAGTGGCTTTACCACTTTGTATTGCCTGCCAGCAGTGCATAAGACTTTCTTTTCCTCTACATCCTTAGTATGGTCAGTACTTTTATTTTAGCCAATCTAGTGGGTAGTAGTGGTTATTTCTTTGTGGTTTTAATGTACATTTCCCTAATGACTAATGAAGTTGACATGTTTTCATGTTCTTACTTGCCATACATATATCCTTGTATGAAAAGTATGTGTTCAAATCTTTTGCCCACATTTTAAATTGGGTTGTTTTATTATGAAGTTGTAAACATTTTTATATATTCTAGGTATAAATCTTTTGTCACATATCTGTTTTGCAAATATTTACTTTCAGTCTGAGGCTTCTGTTTTTTTGTAGTTATATGTTTTGAAGAAGCAAAATTTATAATTTTGATAAAGCCAAAATTTAAAATTCTTCTATTATAGTTTCAAACGCACATGCTCTTTCTCTCTGTTATGCCTTATTGCAATGGCTAGGAACTCTAGTACAATGTTAAATAGAACTGATGAGAGCAGACATCTCTGACCTACTAAGTCACTGGGAGAAAGCATTCAGACTTTTGCCACTAAGTATGATGGTAGTTTACTTTATTCATAAATGTCCTTTATATGGCTGAGGAGATTCCTTTTCATTCTTATTGTTCTGAGAGTCTTTTCTTTTCTTTTCTTTTCTTTTCTTTTCTTTTCTTTTCTTTTCTTTTCTTTTCTTTTCTTTTCTTTTCTTTTCTTTTCTTTTCTTTTCTTTT